TCATCATCACCATCATCATAATCTTCATCTTCACCATCGTCATCGTCAGCAGCATCATATCAACTATTCATCATTAACATTAACGTTTCATAAAACCTCAGTCAACATTTTTATCAAGGTCTTTATTAAACTCAAGGCATTGGTAATACAAGAAGCGTTGTAGTAGTAGTAGCAGCAGCAGCAGTAGCAGCAGCAGTAGTAGTAGTAGTAGAAGTAGTAGTAGTAGCGACGCTACAAAGGAATAGCACACACAACAAGCAAATTTAAACAACCAACCTGTCTGAATGTAACCCTGGCATCTCTTTCCTTCATTCTCCCGTTGGCTACCAAGTAATCAAATAGCTCTCCTAATTGTGTTGAAAATTATAATTTTTTATGAAGATTAACAAAATTATAGCAAAAATAATAATAATAGTAATAATAATAACAAAATAATAATAATAATAAAAGTAATAATAAATAAATAATAAATAATAACAAACCTCTGCTTGCATATTCCATAACCAGGTTTAGTGTTCTCTCCGTTTCAATTACTTCATAAAGTTTAACTGCATTGTATGAAGTTTATTTAACATGAAAATTATGATAACAATGATAATTATTATTTCGATATCATTAATTGAAGTTAATAAATTAAATATTCGGCAAATATTAAAATGATTATATAATTGTTGTATAACAACTGCATCATTAGCATGATCGTAATTTACATTTAATTAACTTAATCTGTTTAACTCATTTTCATTACCCTCATTTATTTACATGCTTTGACTGGTCTCTAATTACTTCATTCATTCATTCATTCATTTATTCATTCATTCATTCATTCATTCATTCATTCATTCATTCATCACAGATCACAATCCGTTTAGGAAGCGGATGGTTTTCACCGAGCAAAATAAGTTTCTGATTTTGGTTCAACTCATGTGGCATTTTTTTTATCAAGTTTCTTGATCTCACCAACTCGTTTCAAACAACGAACTACAGTTGTGTGGGCCAGCTTGAGTTCTTGCAACTTTTCAAAAGGTTTTGGCGGGGTTAGGCCTCAGCAACATCCTTCAGTTCATCATCATCAATCGACCCCTCTTCATTCCGATGGCTCATATCGCCAGTAAATAATTTTTTAACCACTTTTGTGTCCTACGCTCAGATGCACCGACTTCCCCGCATGCTTCCACGATATTACTTACCAGCTACATCAGCCGCGTTATATGCCCGAGTTTGAACTCATGAAGCAAAATAATTCAAAAATCAGACTTTGACAACATTTTCAAACGCCGCTCAAAAACAAAATGGAATGTTCAACTAAACATTTATTATAAACTAGATGGACAAATAAATAACCTTCCCAATTATATATTATCTTCAAATAATATATCTTATATATTCAAAAATCAGACTTTGACAACATTTTCAAACGCCGCTCAAAAACAAAATGGAATGTTCAACTAAACATTTATTATAAACTAGATGGACAAATAAATAACCTTCCCAATTATATATTATCTTCAAATAATATATCTTATATATTCAAAAATCAGACTTTGACAACATTTTCAAACGCCGCTCAAAAACAAAATGGAATGTTCAACTAAACATTTATTATAAACTAGATGGACAAATAAATAACCTTCCCAATTATATATTATCTTCAGTATATCCAAAGATATTATTTAAAAACTTTGTGTCCAAATTTTAAGTAACTCAAAACCAACATTATTTTCGCATCAACTAAATCTAACCAAAGCTAATACAAACAAGTACATGCATGTATTGATAATATCAAACTCTATTACTGCTGCTACAACTAAACTACTATCAATACTAAGACTACTATGATCATTATTACAACAACTACTAATTACATAGCACAAAGACAAAACAACCTCCACAATCATTAACAGAATTTAAAAACGATAAATAAAAGGGCAATAAAAAAGTAAGTGAAAATACAATAACAATGCTAATGGTGCTAGTATTTTAGTAGTTGATAACTCTGTGTTTGTAGTAAAGGGTAATTAATAATAACAAAGCAACTATCTCAACAACAAATAACAACAGCAACAAAAACAAACAACAATAAGGATAACAACAACAACAACAACAACAACAATGACACCATTACAACAAAGAACAAGAAAAAAAACCGGCAAAACAATAGCAATAATTACAACTATACATCAGCAACAATACCTATGTTGGGATGGTCTAACATCTTCATTATTTTAACTTCTCTTCTTAACTGGATAATGTGTAAAAGAAAATTGTTACAAATAAATTAAGACATTCTTTAATACACACAACACACGCACGAACACGCACGTACACACACACGTACACTAACTCTCATACACAGTCTAAAAACATAAAAATATGTGAACTTTTTACAGTATAACATTTAAAAACAAGTTTGAAGTACAAACCCTGGCAATTTAATGAAACATGTGAATAGATTATAACAACAAATTAATATATAGTAGATATTTTTGTTATTCTGAAATGGATGGCTATAATAATTTTGAAGAGTTGCACATTTATCTTTAAATTAATACAAAGTTTTAAAATAGTTCCATAAGAAATTATGTTAATTTTAAGATTAAACATTCCAAGAAAGAGATATATGTGAAACATGGAAAAACACACATTCCGAAACATTCATTTAGAATAAGCTTGCTACACAGTAAAACATAACAGAGCAAGGACATAAATTTTTGTAAGAACAGGCGTATAAATTGAAGTTTTTTTTGCTGTGAATAGTAGTACATTTTTAACCTCCGGTGTATTGTAATCGATTGTAATGTTCCAAACATTATTCTTAAAGCGAACCCGTGATTGAAATTTAAATCAAATAAATAAAGTAAGTAAACAAATTGACCAAACAAACAAACACACACAAAAAAAGAACGAACTAATAAAAACACCTTCAATATATGCACTTGCCATCTCTCAAATTAAATGTTCACGTTGTTGTTGATATGAGAAGTGTTTGATAGTGTAGTTATGATTACCTAAGTATAACAAATTATTTTGTCTGGCAATGTATTGAAGAAAGCTTCTGGTATGGCTTGCAGTTGTTATGTATTGATTGATAACAACTTCTGTAACTGATATGAGAATGTTTGTGTTTCAATGGATGTACAACTCTCATTTTACAGTTTGTATTTTGGCCTGATGCTGACTGGTATGAATAATATCCTTTGATGAGTATAAATGACATGAGATGAAAATTTATTCACTAGAAACTAAATATTTTTAAACGAAAAAAATTGAATGACATTGCAAATGCATATTTAAGTCAAACACAGAAATTGAGACATACACTTAAAAGAACACAATCATACACTCAGACCAAAATACCAATGAAAATCTATAAAAAAAAAAACACAAGCACACACTCACACATACACGCACACATAAAGAGAAGCACATATATGTATATGTTAACATGCAACAATAAACCGACACAAACAGGACAACAACAACAAAAGAATAAACAAACAACACCAGTGCAGTGGTGTGAATGTAATGAATGTAGCATGTTTATAAATGTCAACTTGGTTGGAATATGTTGCTCCAGTTTTCAATGTAAACAAAAAAAATGGCAAAGATTTAATTTGAAGTAATGACGATGGGAATAAAAATGATGATGATGAAGAAGAAGAAAAAGAATGATGAAGATGATGATGAGGAAGAAGAAGAAGAAGAGGAAGAAGAAAAAGAAGATGTTGTTGCTGATACAAATGAAAATAACAACGATGATGATGAATGAAATACATTGATAATTACGATGATGATGAATGATTTGCCTTCATAATTAACATGATGATGAATGATTTGCAATGATAATTAAAATGATGAAAATGATATAATGATGATGATGATGTTCTCAGATTCAAACAGCTCAGACTGATCTAACACATGCCTAAAGTCATTTTATTTATCCATAAATTATACACAAGAGACAACAACATAAGACAACAACAGTAAAATAATAATAACTGCATTGTATATAATGTATATATATATATATATATATATATATATAATAAATACAAGGTCCTCATACCAAAAATCACCAAACAAAATAAAAAAAACATGTCTCAAGGTAACAAGGTTGCAAAACATTCAATTAATTAATTAAATTAATTTATTAATTTAATTTAATTTATTAAATTTATCTATTCTCAAATATCAATTTACTTTCTGTCAATTTACAGAGATGCGTTACTCAAAACCATAGCAAAATTGGTAACTGGTTTGGTGATGTTTATGTGTAAACAAATGTTGTAACATGTTATCTGTGTTTTGTTTGTGTGTGCGTAGATGGATGAATGGATGAACGAACAAACGAATGTATGAACGAACGAATGAATAAGTGTGAGAGTGAGTGAGTAGGGTATGAGATTTATATTGTAAACTCAACAGCCATAAAACAAAAAAATTTCTTTAGATTTTTTTTGTGATTTGTGATGTAGGTTCCAAGGAGATTCAGTGTCATCATCATCGCCATCATCATCATCATCATCGTCATCATCATTATCATCATCATCATCACCACCACCACCATCATGATCATCATCACAACCATCATCATGATCATCAATACCTAGTATATATGTATGTAACGTAAATACGTATGTATGTGTGTATGTGCGTTTGTGTGTGTGTTTGTGTGTGTGCAATGTCATCATCAATACCATCATTTATTATAATGTCTCCACCATCATCGTTATCACCATTATAAATATCATAAACTTAATCACCACCATCTCGTCACCATCTTTTTCGTCATCAACACCATCATTACCAGCGTGATGTTGAATCCTATTGTTATACCATGACCTTTTCACAGTTCAAATTGTCGTTTAAATATAACTAATTAAGAACTACAATCTTTGATGTGGATGATGTTGTTGTTGTGTTGTTGGCTGTTTTGTTTTTTTTAGTTTCTTTAGTTGTTGCTGCTTGCTGTTACTGTATGCCTAATTTTATTCAATGAATGAATAAATTTATTTATTCAAAGCTGCTGATATTTTTGTTAACGTGGTTATAAACTTTATTGTCATCGTTTTTGGCTATTATTGTTACTGTTGTTGTTGCTGACGTGTTTATTTTAGTTGCATGTTGCTTAGCGGATAAGCAATTTGCACCACCTCATGTTGTATATTATTTCCTCAGATCTGCACTCAATTTATGCAGCACAAAAATATCTGTCGTCTGCCGTTCACATGTACTTTTGCAGAGTTATGTAAACAGTAAATACTCCTGAGTAGTAATGGGTGTGATTGATTAGATTATTAGTAATTGCGCATTTTTGTATTAGTAATTATAGAGGCATTAATTTAGTAGCAGGAACAAAAACAGCGGGGTAATAAAAGTTGGACGAATTAGCTCAGTCGGCTCGGTAGAAGTGCCTCTGCCTAGTGCAGTTCAGTTGAGCGATGGCCGAACACTGTCTGTCCGGAACTCAGTGGCTACCAACATGCAGCTGGAGTGTATATGATGCAGTTCTTGCGCGTGCACACGTGATGTGTATGTGTGTAGTGTCGCTAGTACGATCTTCCTGACATGAAGGTCTCAAAATTAAAATTATTATTCGAACATTTGTATAGCGCTAATTACAAACAAAATGTTTCTCAAAAAAAAGCATAAGCAAAATGATATGTAAGCAGTCCTGCGTGCGTCAGAGTTGAATAACAGTAGAAAATATAAAAAGTTATAGTTTTGTTAATATTAGTAGTAATAATAGAATAGAATAATATTACTAGCAGTAAATTACTAGTGATAAAAGTAGTAGTAGATGTAGTAGTGGTAGTAATAGTAGTAGTGGTAGCAATAGTGGTAGTAGTAGTAAAAATGTGGTAGCGAAATAGTTTTAATCTCAAGTACATACTTGAATGCTGATCGCTTAATACTATCAAAAAAATGTGGAAAAAGAATTAAAAATTTTTAACATACAACAAAAACAACATCATCGTCGACATCATCACATCCAGACGTGGTCATCACGTCATAATCACCACAACTATAACCGCCAAAAAGCATTAAAAGGATTAACTTCTTTAACCACCACCATATCATTATTATCAACATTATCATTTTCATCATCAGCACCCTAATTGCTATTATCCTCATTGTTTTTATCATTAGCATATCCGTGTATCATTTATTTATAGCCAATTGATTCACAAATATTTGATCTATGATATCCAACTGGTAATGCAAATTTATTTTGAAAAACCATAACATATATGCAAGAGATAATTAAGTAAATAGTGCGAATATATAATATGAAACATTAGACAGTGGTCACCGATCTAAATATATGTGTATGTGTGTGTGTGTGCACGCGCCTTTGTACGTGTTTGCATGTATGTGTGTGATTGTGTATGCACTGCACATGTATGATCAAACGTGTGAGAGAATATGTGAAGTGCGTGTAAACGCATCAATATTTTATAAAATCATAGATAGATGAAACATTTATTCACGAGACATACATCATCCCAATCAACCTCCATAGACGTCGACAGGTGTCAGAGTAAATAGAGTTATTAGACATTGACACTGTTTAATTCAGTCGTCTGACAAACAAGGCAATCAACATGTAAAAAAAATGGACAGTTTCAGCTAAGGAAGATCAACATCCCATAAACATCAGCCAAATAAAGTTTTTTTCAAAACAAATCCTCCATGAAAAGTCAAAAAAATTCTGAAGCAGGGTTCATTGTAAATCGTGATTTTCCATTTGATAAAGAGCACTTCATCAATGATATCTCGGATCTAAGGGTGACTTTCAATTATAGAAAACTCTCTTTGAAGGCTCCGCTTTTTCCAGCCATTTATTTATTTGCATCTTCAGCATACTTGCAACAAATTAAATACAACAAACATAAATCAATTAAAGAAGAACATAATTAACATATAACTACAACAAACATAAATAAATCAATTAAAGAACCTAATTAACGTAGAAATAACAACAACAACAACAACATTTGTGTATATTCAAGTACATTGACATTGCATCATGCACATATAAGCTCACACATACACGTACATCACACATACAATGTATAAACTATTGTATTAATACGCATAATACAACAAAGTACAACACATAAGCAAACATTGAAGTCTAAATTTTTACTCATTTGTGCAAGTAGAGTAGGGGCAAGAAAGAATATACTCACACAGGTGCTCAGAGCGAATGGGAAAAGTGAAAGAACAAGCCAATGAATGAATGAATAAATGAATAAATGAATAAATGAATAAATGAATAAATGAATAAATGAATAAATGAATAAATGAATAAATGAATAAATGAATAAATGAATGAATGAATGAATAAATGAATAAATGAATGAATAAATGAATGAATAAATGAATGAATGAATGAATGAATGAATGAATGAATGAATGAATGAATGAATGAATGAATGAATGAATGAATGAATGAGATCATAAATGAAAAACAGTGAATGAAGAAATAAAAAACAAATAAAAATGTTGGTGCATTGCTGGTACATGATTCTTTTGTAATTGACTTTAAAAGGGAAATGAAAGGAAATATAAATAAAAAAAAATTGTTATTGAAAAGTAAAAAATAACAACAGTAAATGAAACGAACAACAACAACTGAAACGAACAACAACAGCAATAACAAAAACAATAAAAATATAAAAATAAGTTTGTAACCTTTTGTAGGCTGACACTGTTCAGTTGGGTCTTATCAATGATTTTAATTGCAACCTAATAAAAGAGTAAAAAAAAATTATCATTTCTTATTATTATTATTTTTATTGACATTTCATCATTTTAACATTTCATCATTTGTTACCCTGACTTTGAAAATAAAAGGGTTCTTATTATAAATAATGAAATCAATTAATTAATTAATGAAAAAAATGTTGTCGCTGATTCATTACTTAAACGGTTTTGTAAACAATGCAAACATTATTCAGCTGATAAGTTTGTGTAGCATTCACAGAAATCTAAAGTTAGGTAAACAGTCATCTGCCAATAAGAGTAAGTATTTTAAACAGTATTAGTAGTGAAAGTATTGGCAATAGTATTTAATGGTAGGTAGTAGTAGTAGAATAGATTGGAGAAATTTTATAATAAACACATTACATACACACACATTACTGAAGATCTGTTTACAATCAAACATAACGTGTGTGTGTGTGTGTTTGTGTGTGTGTGTGTGTGTACGTGTGCGTGTGTGTTGATGGAAGAAATCTAATCTAACATGAAGGATAAATTGTAAGTGTACAAACGAGAAAACGTATTAATATGCAAACATAAGATGTGTATAGTGTGCATATGTTCAGAACACACTTGTGAACATCAACAAACAAATACACCGTACAAAACAACAAATTCGCACGCAAACAAACAAACATAAAAACATACAACCACGCTTTACGTACTTATGTTCGTTCATATTCACCATCATATTGAGCCGCAAACATACAAAAATGAAGATACCTTTGTTTCTATTTTAGTCTACATAGCTTATGCGTTTGTATATATAATCCAAGCCTGTTCAGTGATTGCATTTGCAGGTATGATGTAGTAGGTATTCATTCTGACACTGTTATAAACGACCTTACACCAGTTCCATCGAGCAACAACAAAAACAAATGCCTGCCCTACCTACATATCAACAAAAACATACATGCCTGCGTGTATAGATGTAGACAGACGCGTCTGAGGACATACGTACGTACTTATAATATAAAGAACATACACATGTAAAACACTAAGCGGTCAGACAAACAAAAACCACATTCTTGCCCACACATACACATACATGTACACAAATACAAACACAAACTAACACACACACACATACGTATTGTGTTCCTATCATATATACATTGCACAATTTATGTGTACTACATCAGTAAGCAGGATAGCAGCCAATTTATGTGTGAGCAAGTGCTGGTAATTGTTAGTGACCCTTAGTCATTCCTAGAACTAGTCTCCAAATGAAAGAATGAATAAATCAATATAAAAACGAATGAATAAAAAAAGAATGGTGAATGAATGGCGATCTTTCACATATCAATCCACTACCCTTATTTCATGTAAAAGCTGAACACCTTCCAATCATTATCACCTGTTTATTTAAATATTTTACCATTCAATCAACAAACATCTGTTCAGTTTAATCACTTATTTATCCGAACAACCATCCATCAACCCGTCTGACCATTCATTCGTTCAATCAATCAATCAATCCATCAATCTATCAGCCAGCTCGTTCGTCACTTTATTCTCGAAACTCTGGTACTTAAACTGGCCTCAATTAAGATATCTGCCCCAACCAACGTTTATAACAGAAGAAAAAATTTAAAAGTTTCAAATTCTTTGCTTACGCTTCATATGAAATGAAGACTTCAATGCTTATGTGTAAAAATGAACTTGTTTGTTGTTGGATACACAAACCCACACCACACACACACTCACGTGTTTTTAACTAGTTTGACTGTTTCATTTATTTACTGATTTAATCAATCTATCAATCAATCCCCTTGCTTATGGTGCACAGTAGGTAGGTAGGTGGGTAGACACCTACAAAATATCAATACACAATCGATGTTAAGCATTAAATGCACGCAGAACAAAACGTTGTTCGAGAATGATTGACAGAATGAATGGAAGAATGTACAAAACGCATTGAAATCAAAAAATAAACGAATGGTTATATGTACGAATATATATGAATGAATGAATGAATGAATGAATGAATGAATGAATGAATGAATAAATGAATGAATGAATGAACTAATTAATCAATAGGCACAGAATAAATTTAACAACATCGAATTTCAGTAATATAAATAATTAATTTAAATTTTGAAAAGTATTTTATTAATTTAACTTTTTGTTATATTCCAGTAACAAGAATGATAAAATGTTAAAAATCTTAAACTTTAAAAACCATAAAAATAAAGATCAGGCTGAAGATGGTGATGAAGAAGATGAAGATGGTGACGAAGAAGATGAAGAAGATGAAGATGTGATGATTTTATTATTCTCCTAGCATAGCCAAAGTGCACATTTTGGACTAGTTATCCATGATAATAAAAATAAAATTAGTTATAGTAACACTCCACACACACACACACACACACACACACACACACACACACACACACACACACACACAGACACACACATACATACATACAAAAACACGTTATATATATATATATATATATATATATATATATATATATATATATATGTGTGTGTGTGTGTGTGTGTACATATATATACACTATAGATGAATATATGTACACATTTGTGAATATGTACGTGTGTGCCTTATATATATAAGTCTTATAAATAAAAGGGAAAAAATGGATAAATTAATCAATAGCAGATTAAATGGATGGCAAACAGATGATGAATATAGATGATGAATATACAGATGATGAATGATAGTGGAAAAATATATGTCATCATAAAAACATGGAGAAACATGTCAAACATTGTTGATAATTATATGTATAAATAAATGAACGTGTGTGTGTGTGTGCACGCGTGTTTGCAATAAAAAGGTATATACAGTGCTGTTTTGTGAAAAACTGTGTTAAGTAAAAAAAACTCAAAAAAGCAATTAAATGAGTTATGTACATACAAAAAAAATTAGGAAAGAGTTAGGAATGTCTGAAGATAAAAGAAGCTGGTAGCAAAACAGAAAGACGAGAGATCAATGACCATCCTAGAGCTTATTTTTCTCCAACTAATTAGAAATCTCTGCTGATTTACACGGCAATTACAAATGATCTATCATGTTATTACGACAATTTCTATGCAAAAAATATTATTACCAATTATTGTTCAGGAATAAAAAAATGTAAATAATGATCATTCTTACGAAGATTACCTAAAAAGTAATCCAGAAAATAAATGTACACATTCATGAGTACAACTAACTATCAAAGCCTTTGTCTATCTTGCACAACCAAATCTTTTGACAAAATTTGTTTCTATAACAACAACCTGCATCTTTGACAAAACCTTGAAATTATCAGATGAGTGGTACGTTTGCCAGCAGCTTCTGCAATAATAGAGGAAACAGTTGAAGTCTCTGCAGAAATACACACCATGCTCCTTCTGACACACGTTGCATTGGGACTCTTCCAAATAGGGATCAATCTGGATCTTCTTAGTGAATTTGGCAGTTTTTATTTCCACAAAAGCAGCGGTGACGGCTTTCACGTAAGATTTGTGAAAACTGAAAGTTACTCTTCCGGAACCGATTGAATATTTGTGCTTGTCCGTATCAATGCCCGCTTAGACAACGTTCCCAAACAAATCATTCAGAATATGAGCAAGTCCTTCGGCGTTCAGCATTCCATGCAGAGCTCCCACAAAGACTGTTTTTTGAGGTTCCAACAGTTGTGATGGACTCTTCACATAATTGCTGTCACTGATGATCCATGGAATCACCTGAACCTCTTTTGATCTCATTCGTTTGCAGGAAATTTTAAAGTAATATTCTCCTCCATTAGAGAAATCATGAGTGCAAGCTTGCAGTAAGAAACGGACCGATCTCTCCGATTCAAAAAGAATGATGGATGGCAGTTCAATTATTATTAAAATTAAAATTTTGATTGATTGATTGATTTAAAGCATCCAGGGCAGTATTGCTGAAACCAATTTTCATTACAATCTAGCTACCTATTATGGTTTTTACTACCTTTTTAGATATTCTTCTTGACACAAATTAAATAAAACAGTTAAGCTCAAAAAAACTCATAAGCTGCCTAACTACAGATCTAATAATTACAGACATCTCTGATAATTACAGACATAATTACCGTAATAATAGTAAAAATAAAAATAATTTTTACTATAATCTTTATTATTTTACTTTAATTATACTAAGTGTTCTAGGGATTATTAGCTGAATGATGTTTGATCCAGCAACAAGCAACACAAGATGATTAATTTTAAAAATTTATAAACAATAAAATTAAATATTAATAAAAACTTTTAAAATGTTAATAGTAACTTTAGTAGCAGCAACAGTAGCAGCAGCAGCAGCAGCAGTAGTAGTAGTAGTAGTAGCAATAAGCCAAGGGAGAGCGGAGCAGCATTCATTGGCTTAATAGGAACTAATACAACGGTCTATTGATTGTTTTTATTGACATTTCCACTTTGAAAAAATGAACAGAATAACGTAACAACAGTAAAAATAATAACATAATAAGAATAATAATAACCTTGACAACGACAACAACGTTAACAACAAGAATAAGAATAATGATGATAACGATATTAACAAAGTGTGCGACAATAAAAAAAATGTTATAAAACATAAATACTAGCTAACTAAGGAGGGAACAAACAACATAGGCGCGGTCAAAGCAATCCGGGTTAATTGCATATTCATTGTACTGAAAACCAGATCATTACAGAGCACAAAAATATTAATCCAAAACAAAACGTCTGTCTAACATGCAACCCAGGAACACATCAATAGTAGGTCCACTGTTCTAACAATATTTATAAAGAGCAAAAGAAAGTTGTGTGTAGTGTCAATAACTTTATCAAGTTGTTCACCTGACAGCAAATAAACAAATACTAAGATATAAATAAGTAAATTGTGTGTATACAAATGTAAGAATTATGCAAAAATGAGATAGTTTCTATATAAAGACATATGCTCAATGATTAATTTAGAATCCATAGAGAAGCCCAAACATACATGAAATTCCTGCTCCAACATTCAA